ATATATTTAAAATAAATCAATATATTATTAAATGTTTGTAATTTTAGTAGTATAATCAAAAGTTCTGGTTTTGTCAGGATAGCCCCAGATTTTGTATATTATCCTGGTTCTGATTTGAATGATAATTTTATGGTTACCTTAATTATTTAAATACAACCTTAGAAACAGTTATACAAAAATATCTTTGAGGGGCGCCTGGGTGGCGCAGTCGGTTAAGCGTCCGACTTCAGCCAGGTCACGATCTCACGGTCCGTGAGTTCGAGCCCCGCGTCAGGCTCGGGTCTGATGGCTCAGAGCCTGGAGCCTGCTTCCGATTCTGTGTCTCCCTCTCTCTCTGCCCCTCCCCCGTTCATGCTCTGTCTCTCTCTCTGTCTCAGAAATAAATAAATGTTAAAAAAAATTAAAAAAAAAAAAAAAAAAAAAATATCTTTGAACTCTTCCTAACTTAACAAGTTAACACTAGCTATTCAATTTTTAAAAATTAATTATGTAATTGAGAGGATTACTAAGGAATCACAAATGTAAAATGATATCTATCATGTTTAGTTGGAAACTAAATATAGGTTAAAATGCAGATGTAAACCTAGCTACATGTGGCAGCATTAACAAAACTACTGATTTTATAAGATTGAAATACTTGTATTTTGCTCTTAAAAGCATGAAGTGCTTTATTTACATAATCATCGTTTTGTTCCTAAAAGATGAATTGAGAGAAAGGATTTATGTTGTTAATTATCAGTGCTTGTTCTTCAAATAAAACATTTCATCATGGATAATGTCTAATCCCATTAAACAAAAACCTCCATATTAGTGGTGAAAGGTTTTCCCCTTTCACCACTGATTTTTGTACAAGACACCTTGATGTGTTATATAAATATTCCGGTCAGTTAAAAGCAACCTGTGGATTTGGTAAAGAAAATCTTAAGGAAATGTATAGAATTATAATTTTTATGTTCCTTGGGAGTTTGTATTTCAACATCAGTGTTCTTTAGCTTCCTATCTTAAACCAATGATATACCACAGATATATATTAAACAATGAAGAAGAACAAAATCAACTGAAAACTGTGTATTTATCAAAACTGCCTGTGGATTTTTTTTCAAATTTGTATTTAAACTCTAGTTAGTTAATATATAGTTTCAGGAGTAGCATTCAATGATTCATCACTTACATACAACACCCAGTATTCATCCAAACAAGTGCCCTCCTTAATAACCATCCCCCATCTACCTCCCTCCATCAACCCTGGGTTTGTTCTCTATATTTAAGAGTCTCTTACGGTTTGTTTCTCTCCCTCTCTCTCTCTCTCTCTCTCTCTCTTTCTCTCTTACCATATGTTCATCTGTTTTGTTTCTTAAATTCTACATATGAGTGAAATCATATGGTATTTCTCTTTCTCTGACTGATTTATTTCGCTTAGCCTAATACACACCAGTTCCACTGTAGATGGTGTTCTGATGGTGATACACTGGGTGTGGTTTGACTCGAACTATGATACACCTTCACTCAGCATTCTCAACAAGACATGAGGTCTGTGCTCACTGCTTGCCGGGGTTGCAAAAGGTAGCTGCAGGCCCCCCATGGCACAGGCAGCCACAACCACAGGCTGAGATGCCGGTGGTTTGGAACTACCAAAAACATTTTAAATCACTGCCTCTGTTCCAGATCCCTCTTGGAGTTTCTTATTGTGCAAGTTTTTGCTTAACTCCTGGTAGCCAGGAAGAGCTTCTCCCCTCCCACTCGCTAGAACTGTGGTTACAGTATGCAGGCTTCAGTGTTCATCAGGATGAGTCCCTAATCTAGAAAATGAAAAGGTTCTCTTTACCCTCAGGGATGACATATATCTCTCAAGCCCTCCTTTCTTGTCTTACGATTTACGTCTTTGTGTGATGATTGACAGTGCGAACATCATTTTTTTTTTTTCCTAAGGGGGACTTCACTCTCAATTATTGCAGTGAATTAAGCCCTGTGGCTCTATTCAGTACATTCCTTTCCCAGTGTCAGAGTAAGGTAGTCATAAATAACACCACTTTGGGAATGCTAAAAGGGTGGTGCCGATGGGGCTTGTTCAAACTGAGTTCAGTTTCTCTACATCAAAGAATCAAACTCAGTTGGGATCTAGTTTTACCCAGATATCCTTTAATAATCCCTGGGACATAAGTTAACCACCCAAAGCACTTCAGTTGTTTTCTGTTGTTATAGTGCCAAAAACCATTCAGGTTATCAAAACAATAAAATGATGTTTTCATGTCCTTTTGTGGTAGAATATGAATGTGGTTAAAATCAGGCAAAATTTACTTTCATCATCTTCAAAGTATGTGTGTGTAATGTGTGGTCTAATAATTTTTAGGAAATAGCACTCCAGTGGAGAGCACAGAATCTGAGAATTCATCCACTTCATTCTCCTGACATTCAGCTTTCTTCTTTTTTTAAAAATTTTTTAATGTTTATTTATATTTGAGAGAGAGAAACAGACAGAGCATGAGTGGGGGAGGTGCAGAGAGAGAGGGAGACACAGAATCCAAAGGAGCCCCCATGCTCTGAGCTGTCAGCACAGAGCCCGATGCGGGGCTTGAACTCAGGAACCGTGAGATCATGACCTGAGCTGAAATTGGAGCTTAACCAACTGAGCCACCCAGGCACCCCTCAGCTTCCTTCTGCAGTAGGTATCCTGGCCAAGGTGAGCTCTGACACCATTTGTGCGGCTCCAGGTTGTTACTGTATGGATAGAGAGGCATAGACCCCCCCCCCCCCACCAGGGGACACAGAGGGAATGTGGGAGCCCCCAAGAGAAGAAGGTGAGCTTATGGACATGTTATAAAGAGCAATTTTAAGTACCTCACACCAATAAATTCAGGATCAGTTGCTCTTTGGTTGATGCAGAGAATGCACATCTCTTCAAACTTCCTTTTCAAAAAGCAGAAGTTGGGGCGCCTGGGTGGCGCAGTCGGTTAAGCGTCCGACTTCAGCCAGGTCATGATCTCGCGATCCGTGGGTTCGAGCCCCGCGTCAGGCTCTGGGCTGATGGCTCAGAGCCTGGAGCCTGTTTCGGATTCTGTGTCTCCCTCTCTCTCTGCCCCTCCCCCGTTCATGCTCTGTCTCTCTCTGTCCCAAAAATAAATAAAAAACGTTGACAAAAAAATTTTAAAAAAAGCAGAAGTCAAAATAATGAGTCCTGTGGAAAAGGGCCCTGTGTCAAGAAAATGTGCAGAAAACAGAGCTGAAGAAGAAAACTATTGTTGAGTTTAGGAAAAAGATTTCAAAGCAATGGCCTAGGACAGGGATGGGGTGGGGCGGCGGGGGGGTGGGGGAGAGTCACAAAATGAGAGTGATATATTTCAGTCAGACCAGCCCCTCAGCATGTCACCTTCAGGGGCCGGAAAGCTAAGAGGATTCAAGGGAGTGTGTAATTCTGGGGCTCCTGCTCCTAAAATAGCTCTGCATTTGATTGGTTGTATCTTAACATTTTCTTTTGTTTTTTTGTTTTTTTGTTTTTTTTAGATTTTTTTTTTCAACGTTTATTTATTTTTGGGACAGAGAGAGACAGAGGATGAACAGGGGAGGGGCAGAGAGAGAGGGAGACACAGAATCGGAAACAGGCTCCAGGCTCTGAGCCATCAGCCCAGAGCCCAACGCGGGGCTCGAACTCCCGGACCGCGAGATCGTGACCTGGCTGAAGTCGGACGCTTAACCGACTGCGCCACCCAGGCGCCCCTATCTTAACATTTTCAACAAGGAAGAAAAATAGGAGGTAAATAATGTAAAGTCAAGGTATGGAATTGAGGTCACAAGATTGAGTCCTGTGAGTGGAACGTTTTTGCGCCTATTTTTAGGCCCTTATTATCTCTCACCTGAATTACAGTAGCAGCCTCCTCACTGGTCCACTAACTGCCCGAGTGATTTTTCTGAAACTCGCATCTATTCACGGCTTCCCCAGGTGAGTCCTTTCACTGCCCTCTAGCTGCCCCTAGGATGGAGTGTGAATTCTCGACAGGGCTGGCAGCACGCAGGGGATGTGGCCCCAGCCTTCCAATCCAGCCCTACCTTCTGCCATATGTCCCCTGCTCCTTCTCCTGTCATCGTCTTTCAGTTCTTTTAACAGGAGACCCTTTATCACCCCCCACAACCCTCCTTACCCCCATTGCTCCCTCAAAAGCCCCTTCCCTCTGTGCCCCATCCTACCCTCTTTTAGGTTTCAGCTTTGGTCACTATACTTTCCTTAAAATAGTCAAGTCCCCCCCCCACCCCCAAATTGAGTAGGTGGTTGGTTGGTTGGTTGGTTGGTTGGTTGGTTTTAAGTCTGGCCACCTGTGAAGGCTTGCTGCTGTGTGCCAATTGCCTCTGTTTTGTTTTGCTTTCTATCACGGGCTTCTTTACGAAAAGATTTGTTACAAAAGAACATTGGTCCAAGGTATCACTGTATAGAATTTAGTGTACAAGTATTTGTACTTGGTAAATATTCAGTGAATATTCAATGGGCATAGTCATTTAATCTCCAGGGTAGATATCATAGGAATGTTTTAAGTCATAAGTATTTCTGTTCACGTGGGATATCTGAGCCAGTAGGAAAAATATAGAACTGGAAAGCTGGAGGCCTGAGATTTGGTCTTATATCATTACCTTTGTAGCTAACATTAGGACACTAAACTTTCTATACCTAATTGCATTTAAGTAAATGCATCGTCTTTGAAATGGACTGATGCCTTTCCTTTTGTCTTACGTTATGTGAAAATATAATGAAATGACATATATGACAACACTGTAAGCTCCTCTACAAAATATAGATGGTAGGGGGCGCCTGGGTGGCTTAGTCGGCTAAGCGTCCAACTTCAGCTCAGGTCATGATCTCACGGTCCATGAGTTCGAGTCCCGCGTTGGGCTCTGTGCTGACAGCTCAGAGCCTGGAACCTATTTCAGATTCTGTGTCTCCCTCTCTCTCTGCCCCTCCCCTGTTCATGCTCTGTCTCTCTCTGTCTCAAAAGTAAATAAACGTGGGGCTGGCGGGTTGCCACATCAGGAAGGGTCTGCGCTGGCTACCGGGACTGTATTAGGAATCTTGGAAGCACTGCCAACATGTCTGATGTTCAAGAAGCCACTAACCAACTTCTGGATGTGAACCTTCATGGGAACCAGAGGTCTATACAAGTGACAGAAAGTGCTCCCAGAAGTGAGTCTGAGCACCTCCAAGTCACTATTGGAGCCACTGTACCTACCGGTTTTGAGCAAACAGCTGCAGATGAAGTGAGAGAGAAATTGGGGTCATCGTGCAAAATCAGCAAAGACCGGGGCAAGATATATTTTGGCATTTCAGTGGAAAGTCTGGCTCAGGTTCATTGTCTGAGATCAGTTGATAACTTATTTGTGGTTGTTAAGGAGTTTAAAGATTACCAGTTCAAAGAAACAAAGGAAGAAGTTTTAAAGGATTTTGAAGAGTTGGCTGGGAAGCTTCCATGGTCAGAACCTTTGAAAGTATGGAATGTTAACACCAGTTTCAAGAAAAAAAAAAACAAAGCGCAAAAAGATAAATCAGAATTCAAGTAAAGAGAAGATTGATAATGGACAAGGAGATAAAGCAGATGAGAGGGATGATAAAAAAGGATTCACCAACAAAACCTTAGATTCCCGTATCTTAGACTATTACGAAAATCCAGCCATTAAAGAAGAGATATCAACATTAGTAGGGGATGATTTGGCATCTTGCAAAGATGAGACTGATGAAGGCTCAAAAGAAGAAACTCCTGAGGTGCTGAAGTTTAGAGTCACATGCAACAGGGCAGGAGAAAAACACTGCTTTTCCTCAAATGAGGCTGCAAGAGATTTTGGGGGTGGTGTTCAAGATTATTTTAAGTGGAAGGCTGACATGACCAACTTTGATGTGGAGGTTCTTTTGAACATCCATGATAATGAAATTGTTGTGGGCATTGCATTGACAGAAGAGAGTCTCCATCGAAGAAATATCACACATTTTGGACCTACAACTCTGAGATCTACTCTTGCCTACGGGATGCTCAGGCTCTGTGCTCCTCAACCTCCTGATATAATAGTTGATCCGATGTGTGGAACAGGGGCAATACCAATAGAGGGGGCTACTGAATGGTCTAACTGTTACCATATTGCTGGTGATAATAATCCGTTGGCTGTGAATAGAGCGGCAAATAACATCTCATCTTTATTGACCAAGAGCCAAATTAAAGAAGGCAAAGTGTCCTGGGGCTTGCCCATAGATGCTGTTCAGTGGGATATCTGCAATCTGCCATTGAGAACCGGTTCTGTGGACATTATTGTAACAGACATGCCATTTGGAAAAAGGATGGGCTCCAAAAAGAGAAACTGGAACCTTTATCCAGCTTGCCTACGGGAGATGAGCCGCGTCTGTAGACCAGGGACAGGCCGAGCTGTGCTACTTACTCAGGACAAGAAATGCTTTACCAAGGCATTATCCGGAATGGGACATGTTTGGCGGAAGGTGCATACCATTTGGGTGAACATAGGGGGTCTTCATGCAGCAGTTTATCTTCTGAAACGTACACCTCAAGCTTTTGTTCATCCTGTAGAACAAAATGGGGAAAGAACTCCTTGGTGATGCAAAGAATAGAGATGGTTTATGGTATTTGTGCCTCTTGACACTGGGAATGTCAGCATGTAGTATTTGGTTTGAGAGAAAAATAGTGTTAATAAAATTGCAGATTAAATTGGTAAAAAAAAAAAGTAAATAAACGTTAAAAAAAATCAAAATATAGATGGTAGGAAGCATGATAGGAATGGGGCTCTTGGGCAGCTCGGTTGGTTGAGTGTCTGACTCTTGATTCCGGCTCAGGGCATGATCCCAGGCTTGTGGCACTGAGCCCAGTGTGGGGCTCTGCACTGAGCATTGGAGCCTGCTTAAGATTTTCTGTCTCTCTCCTTTGCTCACACACACAAACTCACTCTAACTGTCTCTCAAAAAACAAAACAAAAAAAGTATGATAGGAAAGGTAAGAGCCCAGGAGTTGGGAGACCTGTATCTAGTCCTATTTATACTATTAATTATCCACTTTTTGCCCAGTGCACTCTTACCAAATAAAATAAAGCACAAAATAAGAAAGCTAAGCAGACTTATTTTCAGATTCCTTTTAAAATGTTTATGTATTTATTTTGAGAGAGAGAGAGAGAGAGAGAGAGAGAGAGAGAGAGGGTGGGGGGAGGGGCAGAGAGAGAGGGAGAGAGAGCGAATCCCAAGCAGGCTCCATGCTTTCAGTGTAGAGCCCAACTTAGGGAGATCATTACCTGAGCCGAACTCAGTGAAATCATTACCTGAGCCGAAATCAAGTCAGTGGCTTAACTGGCTGAGCCATGCAGGCGCCCCCATGTTCCTTTTGACTCTTATATTCTATCAATCTAAGAAACTTGAGATGAGTGTTGTGTACACAATGTCACTTAATTTCTAAAAGAATTTCATTGCTGTTTAATCTCTCCTTCCATTTCAGGGGCTGCTGTAGTTCAGTGTCTGCTGCAGTCAGTGTCATCTTTTTCCACCCAGTTATTTCCTTCTTTTTCCACCCAGTTATTTTCTGATGGTTTCAGATATGCATCTTCTACTTTGATATGTCCACACAGTGTCCTGGAAGAGAATGTTTAGAAGTCTACCCAGGAACCAGTATTTGCTAAAAGCTCTTTGTGTTTTCCTCCACAGCTATCCAGGATGGTTTTAGCAGTTATATTCTGTAGAGCTCAGTAGATGATCTGTTACCTGAAATATTTTTTTCTTGTTTCGTGGCTTTTAAGTTGATGCTCAGAACACCTATCCCCTAGTGCTCAGCCTGGAGCAAAGAGAGTTCTCAGTTCCTCTGCTAACGCTAAACAAAAAAAGACCAATTCCAATTAAAAGGTCTGGGGGATTCTAATTGAATGGTGACTATGAGCATCTTTCAAAGCTAGACCACGTGCCTTGAGGCAGTTTGTGGCTTTCTACTCTTGTGCAATAAATGGACCCGATGCCTGACAAGACAACAAAGAATTTAGAAAGTAGGGATGAAATGTGATTCCTTTTCAGGGGGAACAAAGTCACTTCATTCAAGTACCTGCTTAGTTTCATTGCTGCATTTGAGCCTCGAAGGAGAGAAACGTGGAGCAGTTGATCCACAATTGTGCCTTCCATTATTAGTGTATCAAATGGGCTCTTTTGTGTATGTGTGCAATCGCTATTGGAATCTTTGTTCTTAGTTTCCTACAAATTGATAAGCATAGCTATAGGGAGATCTATGTGGAAATTCTATTTTCTAACAGTTTGGCAGTTTTTCTTTAATGAGTCCTTGGGGTATCTCACATTTCACCAATTTGTGTTTAAGTAGATGGGAAAAACACTGGCCGCAGCAGGAAACTTCTTCTGCCCCATAAATCAGAGAAACCATCACCCAGGCACTCAAGTACACCCTTTTCGAATAACATACGATAAGACATTTACTTCAGAGCAGATTATGAGCCCTAACGTATAATTCAAGCGTAGGAACAAAAGTTGCCATCAGGGGATAAAAACTCTGGATGTGTTCAGTTGCTGCCTTGACACTGCTAGTAGACAAGAACAAGGGAAGAAATGATGAAAACAGATGCCAGAAGCAATTATAACCAAGCTGTGGTTAGACAAACAGACTGAGAAATAATTTCACCGAGTTTCCAGAGGGGTTTGTGCAAGCCGCACATAAGCCACATAACCAGGAACAATAGAAAATGCTACTGAAGGAGTAAGTGATAAAAGTGACACTCCTCAGATGGACTTAAGTATTTACAAAGAGCTGCAGGGTTGAAGGGCCCTGAACACTTTAAAATGAGTAATTTCCTATATAGAGGTAATATAGCCGCAGGGTACGAACCTAGACGCCAGAGGCACACAAACATGGCTGATATCAGGCCTTGGGAACGCTGTTGACTATTTTGTGCCCCAATTATCTTGTTTGTAAAAATAAGCTTTTTCTCCTAAGCTGTTTTGAGGATGGAATTCGATAAAGCTTGTCGGGCACTTAGTAAGTATTCGATAGTAGGTGTCAATAAATTGTGTTTACTACTGCCGTTGTTATTAACAGTCCTTGGATAGGCTCCCTCTGGTTCCAGAGCATTTGATCATAGACTGAGCGTATCCAAATACTGTTATGGTCTAGAACTGGCTCCAGAAATTGCATTTTCCAAAGACGTTAAAGGTTGTAGGCTGTACTTTCCAAAATGGCTACAACAGTATTTCCCATCCCACTTGCTCTTTCAAAATGTACTTTTGCCATTCTTCTCATCAAAAGGTGGTGTGTGTTTTCTCCCATGGAATCTGAGTGGGCTGGTAACTACTTTAATCATAGGGTATGGTGGAAGTGACACTAAGTGCTTCAGAGGCCAGATTCAAAACGGCAATATAACTTTCAGCTGGTTGTCTAACTCCCCTGAGGCCGCCATGCTGTAAAGAAGCCAAGCCACATGGAAGAGCCACATATAGGTACTCTGTTTGGCAGTCTTAAGCTCTGAGTCATTACCACCCAGACACTAGACATACAATTGAACAAGTCTTCAGATGATTCCAAACCTAAGCCATTGAGTTACTCTGAGCCTTAGCCTTCCCAGTTGAGACCTCGGACACCATGGAACAGACAGGCTGCCCCACTGTGCTCTTTCCAAATGCCTGACCAATAGAATCTTTGAGCACAATAAAGTGGTTGTTTTAAGCCACCAAGTTTTGGAGTAATTGGTGACACAGCAAAGATAATTGGGATAGAAATTCTTCCTAGTTTGGCTAGTTCTCCCACTATGGATATTCCATTTCTTCTCAATCAATTAATCATCACTTACCAAGACACCTTGTGGGAATATTAACAAGCCAACAGAAAATAAAAGACACCATAGTATAAATTAGCACAAGACTGCACCTTGGGCTGAAGCAAGGGAAGAAGGGCTGAGGCATGGTAAAGAATGGGCTTGCCCAAAGCCTTGAAAAAAAGGTGGGGATTGAATAAATAGAAAAGAGAGAATTCCTGGAAAAATGTGAAAAAATAAGGTTTTGGAAAGAAATGAGATGCGATGTAACTTAAAATAGCCTGTTAGAGTCTATGTATCTTATTTGCAAAACAATATTTACAAGAAGGAGTTCTTTTAAATGTGTTTTTAATGCTAAGAGAATTTATTTAGAACTTTGTATAGGTTGAATTAAGTAGAAATACATCAGTGATGTCTTACTCAGATTAATTTCCACAAGATCGATGAGCAAACTTTGCCTTCTATAAAAACATTACTTAGAACTTTACTAGAACACATTGAATTTTTTACACATTTCAACAAATATATCTTAAAATAGAAATACAGTCTTAAATTTACACATTAATAGTCCATAGAAGGCGCCTGGGTGGCTCAGTCAGTTAAGCGTCCGACTTCGGCTCAGGTCATGATCTCACCGTTCGTGAGTTAAAGCCCCGCGTCGGGCTCTATGCTGATAGCTCAGAGCCTGGAGCCTGCTTCAGATTCTGTGTCTCCCTCTGTCTGTGCCCCTCCCTTGCTTGTACTTTGTCTCTCTTTCTCTCAAAAATAAATAAACATTAAAAAAAAGTTTTTTTAAACGGTCCATAGAACTTGTAAATCATGTAATCTAATACAGCAGTCATTTGCCCTTTCTGGAAACTTACTTACCTATTAATTAATTAATTCATTAAAATGTTTATTTATTTTTGAGAAAGAGAAAGAGTGCGAGTAGGGGAGGGGCAGAGAGAGAGAGAGGGAGACACAGAATCCCAAGCAGGTTCCAGGCTCTGAGCTGTCAGCACAGAGCCCCATGAGGGGCTTGAACTCACGAACCTCGAGATCATGACCTGAGCCGAACTTGGACGCTCAACCAACTGACCCACCAAGCGCCCTCGGAAACATATTTAAATAGAAACTGAAATTGTGATGACAAGATATAGAATAGACAGGGATATAACTTAAATTTTATGGTAACTCATGTATAAATATTCACTAAACATCCTCAGTTTTTTGGTTTTTGTGTTTTTTTTTTTTTAACAGAAAGAAATGGCTTAACCTCAGCCTTTGTGTTCTCAAGTCTCCCATGATAACTTCTCATTAGGTACCATTGAGATGTATGGGCTCTATAGTAACTATAATCTGAAGCTTTGGCATTTTAGATTTTCTGGAATTTGCTTAAACATAATTAGTAACTGGAACGCATCACTTTTTAAATAGCAAATTCTCTGACTGAACAGTTCAACTTCCTGCTCTGGCTTCCATTGGGGCCACTAAATTTTTAAAGTTTTTCCTTTTGATCTTAGTTCTGTCTTTGGAACAGTGCAGAATAACATGACTCTTCCTACATGACAAGCATTCAATTGCTTGAAGGCAGTACCCGTACCAGCTCTGTGCCTTCTCGTTTCTTGGCTAATAATCCCATGTTCTCTCATATAACCATCTCTCCAGACCCTTCTTCATCCTGATGTTGTCTTCTGAATTGTTTTCATAATCTCTTTTTTAAAATGTTAGCCAGAATAATTATAATGTTCTAGCTGTTGGGAGAAATGCCTTGAATTTACAGACAGTAAATTTTTAACTTACTGTGAGTCTAACCACAGTTGTTTTTGTTTCTGTTTTGTGATAAAAAAAAAAAAGTATTTTAAGGCAGTTAACTTGGTGGCATAAAAATGTTTATCAGCTTGGATTCTGTGAGGGTATCCCAATTACCATAAATCCTTAATTGGAAGGAATCTC